TAGCAATCAAACTCATAAGCAATCTTTGACGTCATTTTGAGTTTTCTAACTGCAATGTGCTATCTGAGGACGCCCAAACATCTCTCCGCCCATTGAAAATATTAGATATTACTTTTCAAAACTAGAGAACCTAAATTCTCTTCTAATTTTATAAAAAACAAGGTCATGAACTACACAGCGCCACATGGCTTCCATGTTTTGCTCTTAGGAAAAGAAAGAATCCTTGACTTTTCGGTATAAGATTTAGTGCATTTACGGTAGCTCTCATTCCATCAGTAAAACCTGGAGAAAAGTTTATTCATTTCAATCAGAATTGTTTTTTCAATAAAAACACTATAATAATTACTGAAAATTGAAAATTTTACTTAGAGCTCTTCAATCATCATTATCTCGATTTCTTTGAAATATATGAAATTACTGCAAACTGCAAAAACGCTTGTGACAGTCTAATAAAAACTTTACAGTTGACAAAGATGTAATATCTATGATAGGAAACGAGATAATTGAGCTCAACATGCGAATAACGCAACTGCCGTACTATTACAGTTTTTTTCGGTACAAAGATTTTTTTTTGATTTTTCAATTTTGGAACTCAAAGTAACAACAAAGTTGCTAGCTCTTTGACGATATGAGATCGAAAATGGCTAAATGTTATTTTTGATTTGATTCGCCCCTGATACAATGTTTCTTTTCATCTCGCCCGACAAAACTTTTTTCTTTAATATCATATCTAGCTCCTTCTCCCACCGATTTTCTGTATCAATCCCTGAATCACATTTCAAACTTTTATCCAACACCCATGAACTAAACAACTGCTTCCGACGAAACGTTTTTCAATGTTTTTCGATATCAGAGAACTTGATAAAAGATAACGGTGAGTCTCGTTCTCGCACTCAAATGTAAGAAGAGTCTTGTTGTTGTTGTAACACTCGTGTGCCATATGTATGTCACCGATAAACTTTAAACTTTTTTCCGATGAGTTTCATCAACCGACGCCGCTCCATTTTTCTATCAAGCTCAATGGCCACCCTTTTGCAACGCGTGATCGCCTAATTTTCAATTATCTTGATGCTCCGCTGTCGAAGAGTAATGCAAGCAAAATTCTCATTATTTTGTCCATTTCTATTCTTTTCACCCATATTCTAGAGTGGACAAAAAGCGGGGCAAAAAGTATGAAAAAATTTAATAGGGCAGCTCAATAGTTAAACAATTATTTCTCAATTTTCCCAATGCTGCAAAACTCATGGAAGTCTTTTTTTAAAGTTTAATGATGAGTCGGTTTCCAACTTCTTCTTCCGTTGTTTTTCTCCCTCGAGTTACTCATTTTCAACTTCTCCATATGTTTCAATAATTCTCGCTCATGATGTATCGAATTTCATAAAAAATTTTTACTTCCAAGAAATGAAAATATTCTCGAGAATTTTTGGAATAAAATAATGCCAATTTTCGTCAAGTATCCTAGTTCTAAAAGTTTCAAAAACTCTATTTTCCCGCCACCAATATTTTGTCTCCAACGCTGTCGTTTTCTGATAGCGAAGAATTTTGAGAGCAAATCAGTTTGATTGATAAAAAGGTGCCTATTTTTATTGATTGATCGAATTTTGTTCTTTTTTTTGCTCTGGTCGCTGATAAACCTGGTTGTTTTGAGTACTTTTTTGTCTTAAAGGCGTGTAAGGTGAAAATTTCGTAGCGGAATTTCAAAATTTCCGAGCATTTTCGGAATGAAATTCCGACCGGAATATTTTGGAGGCGTTTTAAAGGTTTTTTATTTGAAATTTGAATTTTTAAAAGAATTCCGAAAATTGAGACTATTTCAGAATTTTTCCGAAATTCCAAAAATCCGAAATTTTGAAAATCGGATTTTTCGACTTTCGAAAAATTTTGAAAAGGCCATTTCAAACATCCCTGGATTTACAATTTTCACGATTCAAGTGGAAAATCTTAGGAAGGTTAGGCGTTTGATTAAACGTAAAAGCCATAGCTGATAAACAATCTTACAGCTGCCGAAATTAGTTGCATATTGATTCCAAGATGAAATTGGCTTGTAGGTTCAACAAATCAAGAGAGAAAAGATTATTAACACTTTCCATACATATCGGTCAATAATACGTACAAAAACGCAGTTTTTAGTTATTTCAGCATTTTCAAAAGTATGGAGCTCGACTGTCTTTAGTCCCCAAAATGTTTTGAAAATTCCTAGTTTTTCAGCTTTTTGCCGATTTTTGAAGGATAGTTTTGAAATATTTTTTCACATTTTCAACACCAAAAGCCAGAAAAGAGTGTCTTTCTGAAGTCAGCAAAATGCTAAACAACTAGATGTTTCAAGAAATTCTGCGAATTCAAAGTATTTCATCCAGGTCTGTTTTATAAGTTCCAAAACTCTAAAAGTGATCGGACGCTCGACAAACAAGCTCGAGACTTCTGAAAATGATTGAAACGATTGAAAATTAGTTTTTTTAACAGCATGAAAATTCATAGCTGAAAATTGTCGGACGAAAATTCGGGATTTTTAGCTCTCAAAATGAAAAGTTCTGCAGTTTTTTTAGCTCGAAATACAAATTAGTTTTTTTTTTGATTTTTAATAGTTGGAAAAATATATTGTTCGGCTCCCAGATGACTGAATATAGCCCTGGCCAAAATTTGTGGTTTTTGATTTAACTTTTAAATATAGATCTGTTTCACATCCTTCAAAATTTTCAAATTAATCGGACACTTGACAATCGAGCTCAAGACTCCTGAAAATGATTAATATCAATGGAAGTATTTGTTTTTGTATATTTCAATAACCGGCACTGTATATGTGAGAGCGACATTTGTCTGTTTCAGAGAACATACTGTGTTATTCTTTTCAAAATTCGTATTTTTCCAATCCGCCCGACTTTGCTCTCAACGTCACAACACCTGGAAAGAAGAAAAACAGCATAGTCTGTCCTGTCAGGCGACAGTCCTCCTATTTTCTATGTTTCAGTTTTTTCATTCATTTTTTTTATCTGTCTCGCACTCTCTTTTCTCGTCTTTTCCTACCATTTTCTGTTTCTATTGAATCAAAAAAAGCGCATCCGACGGGGGGACAGTGGGGGGAAAAACTGAATTTGTTAGGGACAAAACGTGTGAGACAGGCAGAAAATTCTGCGTGTCTCTACAGTTTCTTCTCTTTACGCAACACACACACTGTCATCTGAATATTGTCATCGTTAGGAGGGAGGTCTTCACTCCAGGTTTCTCCTTCTGTTGATCTTCACCCTCCCTTGTACGTGTGTTTCTCCTGATTGATATATGTTTATTGGTGGTAGTGAGAAAGTTTGGAATGAAGAAAAACGAGAAGAAGAAGAAGAAGAAGAAGAAAACAGCGGGACCCGTCGTTGCGTGTCTTTGTTCTTCACTATTATCTATCTTTTATCTTTTCATCTTTTTTTCTCTCTTTTGGCCCTCTGATTTATTTTTCTCTCTTTGTTTCCCTCTTTTTTCATATCTAATAGTGCGTGGCTCATTTTGATTCTGTGTTTTGATTTGTCCTACACTTTCTTGGACCCAGAATCACTGTGTATCTGATAAACAAGATTGATTCAATGAAAATTGTTTTCCCAAAAGTCAAATGTAGTTTCTATCTGTATCTTATCACTGACGGCGCCCTGAAAAACCAAACCTTCTAACAGATATAGTACTAGCTTACTTTTATTACTCTAACAAGGGAACCTCAACACATTGTACACCCAGATTTTGAAAAAGGTTTCTTGATCGGTTGAAATTAACATATCTATTTATTTCTAAAATTTTTAAAGTCAGCTCGCTAGTTTCAGCCCAGTTATATGAGTTTCAGTATCAAAGGTTCAGTACCAATTGCCTTGTGATTTTTTTTATTCTCCTTGTCATCTAAATACTACATTTCGATCACCCACCAAAGTCATATCAGCCAATCAAAAACTCCGTTTTGGTCGTTTTTTTTCAGACAATTAGACAACTTTATTTCTAAATTTTGCTGATAACAATCACCTATTCTTTTTGTTCACTGACAACAGTAAGTGTTACGATATTTTATTTATTTTCCATGTCTTCCCATTCCAGACTTTTGAATATAAAGATGTACAAAAACGTATTTTTCCAATGATTTTCGGCCATTTTACCGATATTCAGGAGTCCGGTACTCGACTGTCAGGTTTCCGATTATTTTCAAAATCTTGGAAGGTGTAAAACAGATCCAAATTGAATGCTTCGCTTTTATAGAAATTTTTTAAAGTATCTAGTTTTTCAGCTATTTGCCGATTGTTTAAATATATTAATTTTCCCTGTTTTTTATTTTTTTTTTCACGGTTTCAGCATAAAAACGGGTCAAAAAAGAGCGTTTTTCCAAAAATAGGCTTATGTCTATAAAAAACTAGTAATTTTTAAAAATTCTATGGATGCGAAATTTCAGATTAGTCTGTTTTATATCCTTCTAATGTTTAAAAATAACCGAGAATCAACTGAAAAATACATTTTTCTATATTTTATTGACCGATACGGCTCTCTCGATTCGATTCTCAAAGATTCATTTTTTGTTTGGAACACAATACAAAACAAAAAAGCGCAAGAAAAACAACTGACGATCGCAACAGTTTTTTAATCTCCGGTATATGTTATGACGATGGTCATGGAAAATGGATAATCTGATCGAAAAATGAAACTTGGTCCAAATATTCATTCCTTTCATTTCTCTCCCCTACATTGTGCCTTCTGCAGTGTTTGTACTATTATCCGTTTCATATTGACTCCACCCCCTTTTGATTCCGATACTTATACTCGATCGAAAACCGTACACTTTTATTTTTATCTGTTTATTGAATTCTTTTCAATTTAACTACTTATAAATCTTCGTGAAGTTTCAGGCTCAATTGAAGGACAAAAAATTTTCAACAAAGGAAAATACGCGAAGTCGTGTGACCTCTCCTTCTTCTACCGTCATCATCGTCGTCTCTTCCTCTTCTACTTCGACCCTCGCCATTTCTACCACATGTCCAGCTATGAATGGCATCAAAGTGTCTAACGATTGCGGTCATATAGTGACCAAACGGACCATCTCAATGTCTGTCTACCGTTTTCTTTTCCTGGCTACCGTATTCGCACTGTTGCCAGCAATTCATGGAAGTGTGGCTTGTTCATTCAACTGGGATGGTAATTGTACTGTAAATGCGGGAAGAGACGAGGTCATGGAACTTCTCAAAAATGAAAACCAAACTATCAACTGGAAGATTCGTCCCCAAAATATTGGATTCATGTACTATTTGAGAGTGAGTTTTTAAGACAAATTTGAAAAAAAATTTAATTACTCCAACTAATAAGCACACTAGTTTTCTGGAATGTTGCTGATTTGTTCTTACATATACAGAAATTCCTCAAATTCCCCAAATAAAGAACACCCACCCGAACCATCAACTTTAATCTTAATGAACTCGACTGCTATCAAAGATTTCAAAAAAATGTTAACTGATAAATTCATAATCATAATATCACTGACATTTTGTCAGTTGGCAAACTTTTGGTATCTTTCACAGGAATCGAGATAATTAAGATTGAAGATTACGGTTTGGATGGGCTTCTAATAGAGAAAATATGTTTTATAGTGCTCAATGGGTCGGTTGAGCTTAAAAGTATTCAGAAAAGGCTATCAAAAGTTTTAATGCGTTTTGTTATTCACGCAGCTCAAGTTTCGCAACTAATTTCCCTTCTCCCAACTTCAATAGCTGCCCTTAAGGGTAATGAGCTTTTAGGAAAAAAGTTGTAGTCTTTGAACTGAAGCTTCAAAAATTGGTTGTCCAAATAATAACGGGTGAAACTTTTGCAACAGGAAATCAAGCTCAACGAACCCATCTAGAAATAGTTTTCTAGAAAATTTTCATAGTGAAAATTTTTTCCTATTTTCTTTGTAACGATCATTAAGCACGTAGACGCACTCATAAAAGCTCGTAAAACAAAAAAAGAAGAAAAATCGTTTTACAGACATCGGACGAGGGTGATGATGTAGGCATAAGAGGAATTGTCAAATGGAAGGTGCAACTGAAATATTGGTCTACTAACGACACTACTGTAGAAGGATTTTTGGTCAGCATCGTGGATCATGATACAAATGATACTGTAGCTAGCTACGAGTTGAATGTACCCGAACCTTTTGAGGAATTTGCGGATAACAATGAGATTCTGGAAATGCGCTTGGAAGTGGATGACGTCTTGAAATTTAATAAAAGATATGATGCGAAGGTATAGTGTGAAATTCTGAAATTTTTCATTCAAATACATTTTATAGATCAACATTCTACCGATCGGCAAACAGGCTGCAGCATCATCGTTCCTTTCGGTCATGGAAAAGCTGGACAACGAGCATTGCTCAGCAAAAACAGGTATGTTCCTTGAAATTCTATTGTTATAAAGATCGAAAATTGCTTGAGAGAAGACAAAGAAAATATTTTCCTTCACGATTTAATTTTATGACTCCAGGTTTCTTGTTTTGATTTTGAAGGAAATTACTTGGTGTCACCGCATGCCAGGGCGTTATCAGGAGACTTTAAGAACCCATTAATCTTTTTTAATGTGTTTCAGGCTTGGCCGAGAGATGGGCACCCCGCATCATGGTTGATGTTTTTGAAGCGACGTCAGAGATTGAGGTACGGTGATGAGGGGAGAAGGCAGAATGAGAAAATCTCTGATTTATGTATGCTATAACAAAACTACAGTATAAAGGGAATACACAAAAACGTATTTCCCAGTGGATTTTTTTTTTCATTTTTCTGGAGTCTAGAGCTCGGCTGTCAAGTTTTCGGCCATTTGAAAATTTCAGAGGATGTAAAAGAGACCTAGATTGAACACTTCGAGTTTACAGAATTCTTTGAAAATTCCTAGTTTTTCAGTCAGGTATTCGCTGATTTCTGAAAAGCACCGTTTTTTAACCATTTTCAGCAAAAAAACTAGCAAAATATGTAATTTTGAGAGAGTTACAAGTAGCTGAAAAAAAACTTTGCAAATGCAAAATTTACAATCTATGTCAGTTTTACATTTTCTAAAATGTTCGAAGTGATCGGAGACTTGACAGTCTAGCTCCGAATTCCAGAAAATTTTAAAAATCGAGGCTGGTGTTGTATATCTGGTTCAAATAAAATTATAGGCGTACTGGAAACCAGCTCCATCATTCTTATGCATCAAATCATATGAACTTGTTCTTCTGAATCGCGAAGGAAACGTCCTAAATACTACAGAAGTAGAGGTGAGTCACAAATCAGTCAGCAATAAATCAAATTGATTGAAACTGTCGGTAATTTATCTTTCTCAAATGCTGCTAAAAGAAGATCGGGTAACATCACAGTCATTCACGATCATCACGAGTTCGCATTGCAAACACTGATAGAACAGTTTTGCAAGAGAAGAAAAATTCCATAACCTATCAACATATCAGAAGAAGACAGAAGGTGTATAGAACTCGTTTGATTGTAGACACTGATCCTAGTAAGAGAGTCATAAATTATCATCAACGTACGGAATATCAAGCCCAAAAAAAAAGAAATGAGAAATCATTAAAAAACTAGATTTTTAGGTCATCCCTGGCCAAAAGATCGGAAACGCAACTTTTGGAGGGATCGAGAAGGATCAAATGGTTCAAGTCAAGGTACATAGTGTCTCAAACTGAAGTTCACATTTTTTGATTTCAGATTCGCGGTAAAACCGCGTCTGATGGCGGCTGTGCATGTGTTAATTGCAATTGTATAACTGATAAGAGCAGGTTCTTTGTGATACCACATGCTGTCAAGAAGGTATGACTATAAACAAAGTGTAGGAGAGCAAACTATTTAATTGTCTACTAGAATGAAAGAGGGTCAAAATTTGAAAACGTGTAATTCGGAGTGTACAACGATTTTGGGGTACAAAGGGGTACAAAGCAACTTAGGGGTACAAAACCCACAATTTGGGAGTATGAAATTAAATTTTTTCAAGTTGTTTTTTGCATATTGAATACCCTCAAAATGAGCATTTTGTATCCCTAAATTGATTTGTTCCTGAATGACCCCAACCTTCTCGTACCTTCGAAATTACATGCCAATTTGAACGGAACATTTTCAGACTGTAACGGTGACAACCCCAAAATCAACTTATCAACACGAACAAACCAGCTACACAGTCTTGGACATCTTATGCTATGTTTTTGGAACTTTGATACTCATCGCACTCATCTTCTGTAGCTGCCTCTGTTGCACTAAACATCAAAACACGATTTTCAAACAGAAAGTTGCATTCAATGCTCTCAAAACTAATCGCTATCCCAACAAGAAGGTCAAAGCAATCAGTATGTCTTCAAAATCAAACTCTATTCTCGAATCCACATTCAAAAAATTCCAGAATCCTACAAAGTGATGGTTGTGTGTCCAGAGGTAACAGGAAGGGATTACGACTATATGATGCGAATTGCCGAGGGATTAAAGAAATCGAGTAACACAGTTGTTTGCGATAAATGGAAGGAGAGTTCAAGAGACGTCGAGGAGAACATGCTTCATTGGGTTTACGAACAGATTCGTTTGGCTGACAAAATTCTTGTGTTCCATTCAGACAGCCATATTGCGAGAGTTGGGGTCTACGAAATTATGGAGAACTTTTATCCGAGCACCGATCCCCGACTTATTCATGTTGCCCTCACCCCAAGTGCCCAGAAGAATGTTCCACGAGAAATTCAATATGTGATGCCGCGAGACCAGAAACATCTAGAAGAAGCTTTCGGTATGACTATTGAGAATCCGCTGGTTATTGATATTCCATCGGATGATATGATCGTTCCGGAACACGGAGCAGTCCATCGAGACAGCTGTGAGAGTATCTTGGAAGGACAGCAGAACTCGAAAACTCATAGTACCGATTCTGGAGTTTCTTCAATGTCGAGCAACAGTTCCCAGTCCGGAGGGAGTGCAGAGGTAAGGCTGTCGAGGGTTTAGCACACAGATAAAGTACTAGGATTCTGGAGTTTGGCCAGTTTATAGAAGTTTGGAACTCGGCTGTCAGGTGTCAGATCAGTTTGAAAACTTCGAAAGGTGTACAACAGACCTAGATTGAAAACTTTGCATTCAAAGAATTTTTTTGAAAAATTCTAGTTTTTCAGCTGTCCGCCGATATCTGAAGATTGCTTTTTTCACTTTTTCAGAACAAAAACAGGCAGAAAAGGGTTTTATTCAAAAATCGGCAAATAGCTGAAAACCTGGGATTTTGCAGAAAGTTTGGTAAACGCAAAATTTTCAATCAAGGTCTGTTTCATACCTTCTAAAAGTCTAGAAGTAATTGGAAACTTGACTTCCGAGCTCCAGGCTATCTGAAAATCATATTGTTCGGCTCCCAAATGACTGAAATTTGCAAAAACCAAAATTTGTGATTTTTGGCTCAAAGTGTTCCAAGGAGTAGATTTATTGACTTGAAATGACTGAAATTAGCCCCAAAATCAAGCGTTTTTGTTAAAAATTACGCGAAAAATCAGAACTTTTCTATCTATTAAGTTGGAAGGAAAGTAACTGTTCATTTTTTTTAATTCGTGAATAACTCAAAAAAAGAGAATTATCCAAGATTGACAGTATGCACCGTCGTGGTCCACGACATGTTGACAACATTCAGATAACTTGTGGATACCATCCCTCCAAAAGCCTGCTGGCCGCGTATCAAAGTATTACTGTAGTACGTTTTTTTTTCATCGATAATGTTGAAGTCCTTACGATCCAGATGGTGTCTTATTTCTCCGAATAACTAATAATCTGATAAAACAAAGTCGGAACTTTCACGGGAGGGAAGGAGAACCGTCCAGCCAAAACGGCTCAGGTACGATGTGACTTTCCGGGAACATGAGGTTTTTTATTTTTAACGACAGCCAAGTCAGACCTGAGCCGCTTGAGCGGGACGGTTCTCCCTCAATTACTTATATTCCCGGCTCAGTTCTATCAGATTATCGGTTATTTGGAGGTATACAAAGTCATCTGGAGGGTGATGAATTTTGCACCATTTATTTGAAAAAAACTGGAAAAAAAAGAATACTTTGATTCCCGGCTAGCTGGCTTTTAGAGGGATAGTATCCACACGTTACCTGAATGTTGGCAACATGCTGTGGACCACGACGGTGCATACTGCTAATCTTGGCTCAATCTGGTTTTTGTATTATTCACAGATAAAACAAGAGACAGTTATTAGGTTGGCGGGAAAGTCTTTGTCACTCTGTTTGTTTAATCACTGTTCTCGTATATGGAGGCTGTGTATGATATTGACTCTAGTGAATAACAAGGTGATAAGAACCTTCCATATAAACAAGTCCCCATTTCCTTCCCTGCTCCTCATCTGTAATTGAAACGATATGTTTGTTCCCACTGCTATTCACATCAGACATGTTTTGATTTACCTCTTCCTATCTCACACCACGATGAAGGATTCGGAAACTTTCTTGAAGAATGTGTACAACACACATGCCCCTCACTACAATACTATTCGCAATTGGTTCCATCGTTTCGAAAAAGATGACTTCTCGCTCGATGAAAAGGATCGCTCTGGGAGACCCCGTGAGTTGGATTTGGACAAGCTGAAGCACGCATTGCAATCGGATCCATTTCAATCTAGCCGTGAACTAGCTGTCACATTCGGAGTTCACCATAGCACAGTCCTTGAAGGTTTGAAGTCTCTTGGAATGAGAAAACTTTTTGGTCGATTCATACCTCATCACCTGACTCAAGCCAACCTTGACCGCCGAGTCGACGATTCGATTACTCTTCTCACTCTCCACGCGGGCGATCGATGGCTGGACCGGCTAATAACCGGAGATGAGAAGTGGGTCTTCTACGATAATCACCACAGGAAATCCCAGTGGGTTGGAGAAGGAGAGAGCCCACAGGATGTCCCCAAACCCGACCTTCATCCGAAAAAAGTTATGCTCTCTGTGTGGTGGGGAGTGGACGGCCCCATCTACTGGGAACTTCTGCCCGAGGGCAAAACAATAACTGGAGACCTCTACACTACTCAACTACGAAACCTCAAGAAAGCAGTCGACCGTTCGGCCCTGAAAGACAAGAAAGTGTACTATCAACATGATAACGCTCGCCCACATGTTTCGAAACAAGTGAAGCAGGAGCTGATGGGATATGGATGGAATGTTCTCCCTCACCCCCCGTATTCTCCTGATCTTGCTCCTTCCGACTATTGGTTATTTGGCGATATGACACGTGCCTTCGAAGGAAGAAGCTTCAATTCCCGTGGAGCGGTCGAAGCGGCACTCAAACAATACTTTGCCTCACGCCCGGCTGGATTCTACCGCAATGGAATCCATAAATTGAGGGAACGTTGGAGACATGTTGTTGATAATGATGGACAATATAATTAATTATTCGGTTATTTTTTCTTTGAGAAATAAACTATTGAAAAAGTGACAAGACTTTCCCGCCAACCTAATACTTTCCTTCCAACCTAATAGGTCTGTTTCTCCGAAAGTATCAAAGTGATCGGAAACTTGACAGTCAAGTTTCATACTCTTGAAAATGGTCAAAATCGTTACTGTATATCATTACTGTAGGAAGTACCTATCTTAATTTTTCTTTTTTTTCAGTCAGCTCATAAAATCACCGACGAAATTCTACTGAAAGATATGGTGAATGTGGAGTCTCATCCTCTTCTTCAACAATCAATCGAAGTGGTGTGATAAATAATATCCCAGAAAACTTCTCATAATTTGTACATTTTGTTGCTTTTCTCCTCTCCTACCAGTTAATCTCTTCCTACCTCCAAGAATCTCAACAAATTTTTTGATCTCTTTCATTGTTACCGAGTCAAGAAAAAAGAGTTCCAAAGCATTGTTTGTACATAGATGCTCACTTCCCTACCGTTGTAAACCCCCTGATCTCTATTAGCAAATCTTAAAGTTGAATTTTTTAATTAATTAATTTCAAACTCAAGTTACTGCTGCGCGGGGTTGTGGACGAAAAATTGTCATTGCTTCTTTCATTTCCAATTTGTTTTAGTTTTCACAGGTCCTTTATTGTATTGCACAGTGATAAATATGTATTATTTCTGTTTTTTTCACTGCATGATTGTTCATTCTGTCCAGACATTAAAATGCACTTCCACTAAACTAAATATTTCAAAGAACCAAATTTTTCAAAAAAAAAGAAGTAATCCACCTACTCAATTTTCCATGTTATCTATTCTGTCGGAGAGTGATTTTTTCGTGAAAAAAAGTCACCCGACCTGACTCTTATCTCTCTCGTTTCGCTTCGTTTTTTTGCCTTGAACGAATTAGTGTCACCAGTTGAGAAATCGCTGGTTTTTCTCATTCTGCCAAATTTTTGAACTCAACTTACTTCACTTTTCTTCAAGTGGACAAAATGAGATATGGTGAGTGCAAAACAGTTTATAAATATACAGGGTGTGCCAAAAGTATGGTAACACATTCAAAGTGCTGTAACTTCTAAGAAGATACTCGAACAGACTTGAAATTTTGACAATAGTTTCCTGAATACTTCTTAAGAATGAAATTATGAAAGATGTTCGGTGCAGTTGCCTTTGATCGTCATAAAATTAATTCACGAGTCTCTTCGGGAACACATCTACTATGACACGGGCGTGTTTTGGGGATAACTTGGCCCGTTCTAGGTCCAAACTACTTTCCAATGACTTCAAATTGGGTTTTGGACATGATCGAACTCTTGACTGAGAAATTCCATATACGGAATAGTCCAGCAGATTCATGTCTAGCGACGTGGCTGGCCGTTTGTAAGTCGTGCTGATTCTTGAAAAGTTGGCCGTGCAACCTTGTTGAACGAGTTTCGCCTTGTGAGCGGGAGCAGAATCATGTTGAACAGTCCAAACATGGTTTTTAAAATGTGATTTGGTCTACGAAAGCACGTGCCACTTAAAATCCCCTCCTACTATTACTCTTAGTTGATTTTCACCCCAAAATCTACAAAAAGCAGAATTCGAAGGTTGGTGCACCAAAAACGACATCGTTCTGAGGATAAGAAGCTCTGTCGTTCTGAGGATAAGAAGCTCATTCAACCGTGTTTATTAGCTAGCTCTGATCTCGGGGCAAAAACTCTATTGTTTTTTAATAAGGATTCGACTTCCACCGTAAAAAGTTACTGGTCGGGAAACATCCTATTCATGTGTTCATTTTGATGCATGCCAGCAAACTGAGATTTGCACTTTTGAATGCGTACCAGATTGATATTTCCCGGCAGAATTCCAGTCTTTCCAAAACGATACAGGGTTAGTCTGTGCTCACTTTTTATGATTAATCTGATTGATTTTCTGCTCCATCACAGCTCCAGAGTCATTGTTTTCATGATTTTTAGCGATTTCGACAAACTCGTTTTCTGACGGCCTTGATTCTCTCCGGAGTAACCAAAGATCAAGTTTTTACGATTTTCAGAATGTTCTTGACCATACTCAACTAATCAAACCTTTCGATGGTTATCCACACGGTTGTTCGTGAGATACGGACAGATTTTCCGATACTACTGGTGGCCACCTGTCTCTTTGCCACCTCAACGAGGGTGCCTAGGTGTATAGAACTTGCCACCATTCGTGTAAAAGTTAACCTAAGTGCTTGAAAATTTGGATATGAAAATCTTGATTTTAGGACTAATTACTGCTCTTACAAGTCAATAATATGATCTTTGGAACATTTTAAGCCAATAATCATAAATTTGGGTCAGGGTGATTTACAGACAATTTCAAACCAAACGTCTTGGAATTTGAACTGTTTTGCTGAACTATTTCGAGCTAAAAACTTAAAAATTTTGGATGATTTCAATCGAATTAAAAAAAATAAAAATCACGAATTTTTCAGTTATTTACCTATTTCTAGAGAACATTCTTTTTTGGCTCAATTTTTTTTTCAAGAAGCCAAAATTTTCATTTTTTCAGTACAAAAACAGGTCGAAAATGGGTGTCTTTCCAGAACTGGCAATCTGAAAAACCAGGAATTCTCAAAAAATTCTATGCAAAATTTACAATCTAGGCATTTTTACACCCTCCTAGATTTTCAAAGTTATCAGACACTTGGCATTCAAGTTCTACACTCCTAAAATGGTCAAAACAGCCGTAAATCATCTGAAAAATACGTTTTTATTATATATCTTATTGACCGGAAATGAAATTGATATTTTTGTTGTTTTATACGGATGAATAAAAGCCTGAAAATATGAAGAAATCAAGGAAAAATATATGCTTCCCAACAAATTCTGCATCACATTTATTTTTTTACGCTGAAATATTTATTTGAAATCATTTTTTTGATTTTTTAAGGAGTAGTTAAATTTTTTTTAATTGTCAAAAGATCTTCAAAATGATTCACTTTTAAAAACCTTCACATGACTGGCACATGAAAATATGACGAAGAACGTTTTTCTTTACACATGCACTCTTCTTCCTTCTGGAAAAAGAGAAAAGAGAAATATCTTTCGATTTCTCTGCACTCTCTTTGTCCTAACGCGTGACAATAGAGCGCGTTTGCAAACCGCGGGAGTAATTCGTCAATGTTTCGGCCTTTTAAATTCATGTTGTTACACTTTTCCGTGATAGCCACTGGCCAGTTCCCGCTTCAAAATGATCAGAAAACGAAAACGTATCTTTTGTGATATGTTTGATGCGAATTTTATGCTATTTTTCCTATTTTCCCGTATGTTTACCTTAGTTTTTCAGGTATGGCTCAAAAATATGTGCCGAAGGCGGCGGAGGTCTGCGAGAAGTCTCTGAAGGAGTTCATATCTGCCATCGGAAATGTCAACAAATTAGTGGTACTTACAGGAGCCGGAATTTCTACAGAATCCGGTAATCTTTTGCAGTTCCGATACCCAATTTTCTAGTTTTTTCAGTTCCAGGTATACCGGATTATCGGTCGAAAGATGTCGGATTATACGCACGAATCGCTCACAAACCAATCTATCATCAGGATTACATGCGTTCGAATCGCTGTCGACAGAGGTGGAAATCACCGAAATAACGGGAAATTTGAACTGTTGGTTTTAGATACTGGTCGCGTAACTTTCTAGCCTGGCCGAGATTCGGACAAGCTGCTCCAAACATCAATCACTACTCCCTGGCAAAATGGGAGGCATCGGATCGTTTTCACTGGCTTATCACACAGAATGTGGATGGTCTTCATCATAAGTGAGTTTTCGGATTGTTCGAGAACCATCAATATCACAAGATACCTTTTTTTGTCTGCAGAGCTGGGTCAAACATGGTTACCGAACTTCATGGCAACGCTCTTCATGTCCACTGTACCACATGCGATTATACTGAGTCAAGGTTAGGATTTTCAAGAGTTTTGACGGAGAAGTTGGCAAATAACTTGGAGGTAGACAAATTTTGGGACCAATGGGGTACAAAGCAACTTAGTGGTACAAAAGTCTCAATTCAGGGGCACAAAGTATCTGGAAAATCCTAATTTTGTACCCCTAAATTGTTTTATACCACAATGACTCCAAAAATTATGTGTCTTTAGAATAATGTGTCGGAGCATTTCTGATTATAAACGGATACACTTGTCCTTCAACACATGATCAGAAAACCAAAGCCAGGAATTTGGTTTGCCTCCTAATTGATGGAGTTTGATCAGTTCTCCACACCCACTTTCACTCAGCCGTCCAGTTTGCGTCCTTTTAGGAATGGAATGCCAGTTGTTTCTGGTTTTGACGACGTGTTGAAAAAAAGAAGGGACTATTCAAAATTTTATAGTTGTCGAAGGACTGATTACGGTTGATAACTAGTTTCAAAGTTCAAATTGTAGACAAAAAGCTTACCAGATTATAGAGCTAAGCGAGAGCTCTTCAAGTTCTACCATTTGGTACGATAGTTAGCTCACAATTCAAATTTTAAACCAAGTTATCGGCCGGACCTGAATCGGCCCATCGACGGGAGCCTTAGCAACAAAATACATCAGACATCAGACTATTCCAGACACGACTACCAAGAGAAACTGGATAAAGCAAATCCAGGATTCAAGGACACGTATGTGGCATCTGGAGAGATCGCGCCAGATGGAGACATCATTTTGCCATTGGGAACTGAGAAAGTAAGAGTTGAATCAGCAATCATAACACCAAATAACTGATTTTCAGGGTTTCAAAATTCCGGAGTGTCCGTGTTGTGGCGGTTTGATGAAGACATCGGTCACCTTCTTTGGTGACAATGTGAAAATGGATAAGGTCAACTTTTGCTACGAGAAAGTGGACCAAGCTGATGGGATTCTTGCTCTTGGAACATCACTTGCCGTTTTGTCCGGCTTCCGGTTTATCCATCATGTGAGTTTGATGCCGTAAAACATGTAAAGAAGCGCCACCATACTGTTACATTCGAGCTCAATTATCTCGACTCTTTCAAGAGGTAGCAAAAATGTGCTGACTGATAACATGTTTGTGATATTATGACCAACAATTTATGAGTTTTCAACATTTTTATGTTTTTGAGAGGAACCCAGATAAATCGGCTCAAAGTTAAAAGTTAGTGGCCCCTCTATTCCAGGTCTTACTGTATTTTAAAAGATCGTGGTTATAAATCATTAAATTTCAGGCACACCTGCAAAAGAAGTCAATATTCATTGTGAACATCGGACCAACCCGTGCCGACCACATGGCTACTTTGAAACTGGACTACAAGATATCCGACGTTCTCAGTGAATTGTGATTCTCTCTTAGATGGTTTATCATTAACGCATAACAATGATTGATTTCTGTGTGAAACTTTTTGAACTGGATATTTCCTTTTCTTAGGAACCATGATTGTCTCTTCTTCGGTTTTTTTTTATTTTTCGACTTGATGAAGTATTTTTGTCCTGTTTTTTGTAAACTGGTTTTTCATGAACGCAGGGAGAATACAACTAGAAACGGTGCGTTGAAAGCTGAAGAATATCTCTCGCTGCTATTTTCAAACTCTTTGCACCCCAAGACAAAAAAAAGACATGCTGTGTAAAATCACCCCACCTTCATCACTTTTCTTTTTTTTTTCATTTCAAAGATTGGTCACCTCATGAACACCCTATTAATTTTTCAATGATGTTTTACCACGAAATTTGGGTTCATCTCATTAAATCATTAGGATGTACGTTTAGCGAGAGACCATAGGGTGAGCGTTGGGTGTCACCAACCGTAGGACCATTTGTTCCCCTTCCTGCGAGAGGGTGTCTGCCAGCACACAACGTTATCGATTTTCTGTACAGGCATAGTTGACCTCGGTCCGTACAAACGGACAATTAATAGGTTTCGTTGAGCAGCGATGTCTGGGCGTTTCAATTTATAAGACTGTTTACAAGTTTTGAACAAAATACGCGTAACTAACAAAGCAAAAACGACAATTATATATATTCTTTTCAATTCGGACGCTGTACAATTCTCCATTTTATATTTTCCAAGAAAAAAATCCGATGTGTGATTTTTTGATCAGATATCTCTTCTCCGCAGATGTTACAACAAGACACATCTTGCTAAAACTTGACCTATTATCTTTTTCTATGTTCTTTTTTTGTTTTGATTTCACTCAATTTTGGCAACTTTTGAAAAATTTACAGAGTAAAAAAAGGATTTCTTACATTTTTATGTTTTTTTTTCTCGTCATAATCATTTTTTTTATTCCAGCTATGGCTCTCCAATTCGTACCAAAATCTTCGGATATATGTGAAAAATCACTCAAAAAATTCATTTCACTGGTTGGATCTGTAGAGAAGCTACTGATTGTCACTGGAGCTGGGATATCAACAGAATCAGGTGAGATCTACGCTTTTGAGTTGCTCGCAAAAAAAATTTTCCTCCAGGTATTCCGGATTACCGCTCAAAAAATGTTGGATTATACGCCAGAACCACTCAAAAGCCGCTCTATTATCACGAGTTTATGAAATCAATTGAATGCAGGCAGAGGTAAGGCTATCTTGTAGACGAAAAAGCTATCCTGGAAATTTCAGCTACTGGTTACGACACTTTCTCTCCTGGCCAACAACTAGTCAAGCTGCTCCAAATATCAACCACCACACGTTGGCTAACTGGGAGTCATCAGAACAATTTCTGTGGCTTGTCACACAAAATATTGATGGCCTTCATGTAAAGTGAGTTTTTCCCTGAATTTGCAACTTTCTATCAATATCAATTTTTGCAGAGCTGGATCAGACAAAGTGACAGAGCTCCATGGCAATTGGCGATATGTCAAGTGTACAACGTGTGGATATACTGAAACCAGGTAAGATTTATGGACTTTCTGTAGTTTTCCCAAATAAACCGTGCATTTTTCACAGGAATGCGTACCAAGAGAAGTTGGCAGAAACAAATCCGGACTTCCAACATGTCCGGTGCAAAGAAGTACCGAACGAAGTGACAGAAATGCCGTCGAACATAGCGAATGTAAGTTTTTAGAGATTATTCGTCCGAATTGTGCAGAACTTGCGAAAAACCTCTATTCCATACTTGTAACGGCCCGGACCGTGCTTTTTTCAAATATTCGAAGGCCCGGCGGGTTTCTAAAGCCAGGCATTTATTTGTTTTTGAACAATTCCAAACGGAAAAAAGTAAGGTGTTGGCTTCAAAATACATATTTTACCGGGTCTACAGAGCGAGGCCAAGCCCGACAAGGCCCGGGCGTTCATTCAAAAAATATTCAGTATTCCGAAAAATCCTATCAATTTTTAGTCTTTCAATGTTCCCACATGCCCTTGCTGTGGCGGAATCATGAAAACCGACGTCACCTTCTTTGGAGAGACACTGTCAACGGAAAAACTGAATTTTGCATTCGAAAAAGCTAACGAATGTGGCGGTATTCTAACTCTGGGATCTTCGTTAGCAGTTCTACCAGGATCTCGGCTAGTTCATCAGGTGAGTGGTACGAAAAAATCGAAGTTGTGGAAGAGAAACACCGGTTACCGTGGCCGAATGTCACACAACTAGCACTACCGTAACATGTGAATATTTATGTTTTCCGTGTTCATTAGCACATTTTCAGTCGATTTTTTCCCACTTGTTTGGAGTAAATTGGTTGGAAACTCGACGAAAAATAGTGAAAAATGTGAAAATACTAAAATCAAAGTATTCAAAGGTCGGGGTGAATTTTTTTGTGGGACTTTTGGCAATGGTCTCTTCCACAGTTTCGGTTTTTTGTTAGTAGAAACACCTCTTTATTTTGTTAGTTTTGTTAGTAGAAACACCTCTTTATTTTCAGGCTCACTCTCAGAACAAACCGATTTTCATTGTGAACATTGGACCAACCTGTGTGGATCATTTGGCAACGATGAAGTTGGAAAACAAGATTTCAGATGTTTTGAAGGAAATCTAAAGTTTAGTTTCTTCCTGCACGAGTACTAAAAACGGGATAGGACACGTTTTCTATAATCTAGTTAACTCAGCAATCACTGTGAATATTCTGATAGAATCTCCGTCAACCTGTTAATTTTGAACCAATTTATCTCTGCTCTTGTGAATGATATCAAATAGTGGTTAACTGACAAAATATTCTTGATATTATGATAAATATTTGGTCAGTTGCACACGTTTGAATATCTTGAACAGGAAACGAGATAGATGGACTTAAAATTGACCGGTCTAGGGACATTCCATTAGAATGTTTACGGTAAGTTACTATAAAAAAAGATTTTTATATTTGTCTAATGAATGATAAAACTATAAAACCTCAAAGTCTTTGCACCAAAAAATGTTCAGAAAATAATGTTCATAACATTATGAATTGTATTTCCAAAAAAAGTGTAGAACACAAAGCACACGAGCGTTTCTTTTTCGAAAACTTGACTCATAAATGTTGAGAAATATAAAAGGAGATGACGTTCTCTCCTCTTGCGACCATCACTTTTTCGTTTCCCACATTGTCTTCGCCACAACGGCAAGAAGTCCAGTCAGAGAAAGGAAAGTAAAAAAAGTGATAAGCCCACAAAATGATAGGGAAAATCAAACACGCAGGCAGCGGGACAAGCGGTTATCATTTTTGCACATGGAGCCTGGTACCAAAAGTATAACTATCATTTTTGTATTTTATTTGGTGAGTACTGTTAACCACTTTCAGGAAGTTAGTAATTTTTACTTCTTTTTCAGATCTCTTCACTCTTCTGTTCAGTATCCGGTTATGTGTTATACAGTGAAGTGGAAGCAGAGGATTTCTTAAATTTAGCGGCAGCAGCGTATGCGGATTCTAGTGAGTTTTGAAGTTTTTTGAAAAATACAATGAAAGATTTGTTACAGGTAACATAACCGCTCGCCAGTCATGTATAGATATTTCATTTCCTACCGACGAATTCCATGTTTTAATGGTTATGTCAGCGCCGTGCGATAAGGTGAGTCACATTTTTCGTCACATTCTGTGCCCGAGTTTAGAAATTTGTCCCATTTGAAAAATGACTTTCACATCCGGATATTCTTATTCTTCAGCAGTTGTTTAATGACACCAGATGGGCGTTAAGGCAAACAATTTTAATCCCAGAAATGCGAATCTTAAAAATCTGAAATTTGATTACAGCGTGGAAACCAATGTCAAGCGTTCATCGCAATCTCCGATCTCACAAATCAAGTGATTATCTCATTTCGCGGCACCAATAGTGGTGGTCAGCTATTATCAGAGTTTGGCGACGGGTTAGAAGATTATATTCCGTATACGGAAGTTGGTAAGATTACCATGTTCTGGACTTTATTCCAAATAACCCAATATTTTGCAGACGGGTCGAATAACACTGTTCACGTTGGACATGTGAACGTATACTTTTTGGATGCGATGAACCAAATGTGGGAGGATATGGTAGAGCCGACCACGAGGAAGTGAGTTTCTGAATCAAAGCGAACAAACTCATAACCATTTTTCAGCCGACAAAACTATACATATTTGATCACTGGACACTCGCTGGGTGGAGCAATGGCCACTCTGACGGCTTTCAGGATTTCATTCAGGCAATTTTCAAATAAGGTATAGCCATAGATGTGAAAATATTTATTGAACAAACTAATTTCAGATCAAAGTACACACATTTGGGGAGCCACGTGTCGGAGATATTGTCTTTGCTAGTTATTTTACGGTAATATTTTGTTGGAATTACAGTATAGAGCCCATTTTGTACTGAAAAAGTGAAAGGTCTGCCAGAAATTGCTGATTTTCTTAAATTGAGAAATTCAGAAATTCCAAAAAAGGGTGCTAGAAATTCCAAAAAACAGAATTTTAAATAGAAATTCCAAGAAAACAGAATTTCAGAAAATCTGTCAAAGTGCCAAAAATCAACTGAAAATGTTGTTGTTGTACATCTTATTGACTGGTACAGCATATAATTTTTTAAAAAGAAATTTTTCCAGGATATGGTTCCGTATTCCTTCCGAGTGGTCCACCACTCCGATCCGATCCCTCATCTACCACCATTGAATGTGGATAACGAATCTGCTCCAGGCATGCCGTATCATCATCCGAGAGAAATTTGGTGAGATTTTCATGTACCGTAAAACCTGTATTAGAAGGGCACCTCTAATTGAAGCATAAAAAATGGAAGGACCGGTCCTTCTAATCCAGTTTTTACGGTAGTTTTTGAAACTTTATTTTTTGTTCTATTCAGGTATAATGACGATTTCTCAAGCTATGTTTTATGTAGCGATGTTAATGGAGAAGACTGGAGTTGCAGTGACAAATTACGGTTTTGGAACTATGGGAGCAAGGTGGGTGATTTTATTCTGCTTGAAACAATTTCGAAAACTTCCAGGGCGCCTACCGACATACACATTATTTCAATCACTTTGTCTCTGAATACGGCTCTATGGGCTGTAAATTCACATCACAAATCAGGAACACGTTTATTTCACTTTTCATGTCTATCTTTGTTTTGTTTTATGTATAGTTTGATTTTTTTAAAAATGTATTTCGGAAACAAACAGGGACGGGTGCACAAATGAGATAAGCAGAAATCTGGAAATCTGGTGTCACGGATTCTAGAAACAGGCAATTCGTAAAAAGAGCAATATCTGAAGTGCATTCACTTCCTCTGATTAATCTAATGAAATAAAAACAATCGTTTGAAGTGACAAAAGAAAAAAAAAACGGGGGAAAAAGACAAAGGGGCGGAAAACGAAACTCGATTAATCAACGGGACCAACGCGGCACGTGCTCCTCGATGCTCATGGAGAGAACAAATGAAAAATAGTTGGAAAAGTGCGAAACGAAACCATGAAAATGGGGAAATGGGGGAGAAAAACGAGAGAGGGAAGAAAGAGAAACTGGGGGTGGTGGGTGAAAAAGAAGCAACAAAAACTATTGAGGCACTGACAAGAAAGAGAATGGCGGCAAAAAAGAAAGATGAGCTCAAGTGTCCAAATGATATATACATTTTTTGCTTCATGAGTGTCCCGTGATCGATCATTTGACCTCTCCTTCTGGGTCCCACCAGTCTTTGGGTGACTCATATTTTGAAACCATGTTTTTTCCCATCCTTGATCTGTTAATTCCCAAGGATTGTTGTGTTCCGAGGAAACTTATATTTCGTTTGTTTAAAAAGTATAGTTTTGACCACCTAGAGTTTTTAGAAATATTCATTGTGTTAGGTTAAGAGGATTCAAACTTTTTTCATAAGCCCTAACCAGCAGAATTTGCTTTTCTTGTAGTTTTTTTTCTGTTAGCGGTCAAAGGGATTTGTGGGTACACCATGTTGTAGGTATACATATTTATAACTTTTGATTTTCCATCCAAATTATTTTATATTGTTTTCAAATCGAACCGTGACTTCAAGTGGCCAATCTGTTTACTTTTTCACTTATCCTGAACTTTCAAGGTGAGAAAAAAAAATAGAAAAATAGAAAAGTAAAGAACCCAAGAAACCTAAAATCGCGTGATTGATCATGAATGAAAAAAAAATATATAAATCAAACAGCTCAATATTTCTTTGATGAATTCTATTCCAAGTGCTCCTTCCCTACATTTGACCTTTTTTCTTCTCTATTTCTTTACTCGCTTCTATTCTAACCTACCAATTTTTCATGTCCAGCTCCAGAACAAAAAATGTGTCAATGTGCCATAAAGGCGGAGCTTGGCGAGCCGCCACCATCGTATTCCTTGAGTTCTCCGAAAAAAAACGCATCATACACAATTCATCTCATTGGCAGCAGGATTCGGAGCATACCAACGATTTTTCTCAGGTTGACTATTCTACTGGATAATGTGATGCAAACTCTGAAAGCAATGAGAAAGGTGAGGAAGTTTATAAAGGTAGAAGTATTAGGTTGGCGGGAAAGTCTTTGTCACTTTTTCAATAGTTTATTTCTCAAAGAAAAAATAACCGAATAATTAATTATATTGTCCATCATTATCAACAACATGTCTCCAAGTTCCCTCAATTTATGGATTCCATTGCGGTAGAATCCAGCCGGGCGTGAGGCAAAGTATTGTTTGAGTGCCGCTTCGACCGCTCCACGGGAATTGAAGCTTCTTCCTTCGAAGGCACGTGTCATATCGCCAAATAACCAATAGTCGGAAGGAGCAAGATCAGGAGAATACGGGGGGTGAGGGAGAACATTCCATCCATATCCCATCAGCTCCTGCTTCACTTGTTTCGAAACATGTGGGCGAGCGTTATCATGTTGATAGTACACTTTCTTGTCTTTCAGGGCCGAACGGTCGACTGCTTTCTTGAGGTTTCGTAGTTGAGTAGTGTAGAGGTCTCCAGTTATTGTTTTGCCCTCGGGCAGAAGTTCCCAGTAGATGGGGCCGTCCACTCCCCACCACACAGAGAGCATAACTTTTTTCGGATGAAGGTCGGGTTTGGGGACATCCTGTGGGCTCTCTCCTTCTCCAACCCACTGGGATTTCCTGTGGTGATTATCGTAGAAGACCCACTTCTCATCTCCGGTTATTAGCCGGTCCAGCCATCGATCGCCCGCGTGGAGAGTGAGAAGAGTAATCGAATCGTCGACTCGGCGGTCAAGGTTGGCTTGAGTCAGGTGATGAGGTATGAATCGACCAAAAAGTTTTCTCATTCCAAGAGACTTCAAACCTTCAAGGACTGTGCTATGGTGAACTCCGAATGTGACAGCTAGTTCACGGCTAGATTGAAATGGATCCGATTGCAATGCGTGCTTCAGCTTGTCCAAATCCAACTCACGGGGTCTCCCAGAGCGATCCTTTTCATCGAGCGAGAAGTCATCTTTTTCGAAACGATGGAACCAATTGCGAATAGTATTGTAGTGAGGGGCATGTGTGTTGTACACATTCTTCAAGAAAGTTTCCGAATCCTTCATCGTGGTGTGAGATAGGAAGAGGTAAATCAAAACATGTCTGATGTGAATAGCAGTGGGAACAAACATATCGTTTCAATTACAGATGAGGAGCAGGGAAGGAGATGGGGACTTGTTTATATGGAAGGTTCTTATCACCTTGTTATTCACTAAAGTCGATATCATACACAGCCTCCATATACGAGAACAGTGATTAAACAAACAGAGTGACAAAGACTTTCCCGCCAACCTAATACAGTCCCTCCTAAAGTTTATTAGTTTTGATTATCAATACAGTACCGATTTTGACAATTTTCAAAAGTCTGGAACTCGGCTGTCAAATTTGCGATCAGTTCGAAAATAACAAAAAGTGTAAAACAGACCTAGGTCGAAAACTTTGCATTCACAGAATTTTAGAAAATTCCTTGTTTTTCAGATATTGCCGATTTCTGGAAGATGCCTTTATTTTTCCCATTTGTAATGAATGCGTGAATCAAATGTTTTACAGAAATCGGTAAATAGCTGAAAAACTAGGAATTTTCCAAAAATTCTGTGAATTCGAAAGTTTTAGTTTAGGTCTTTTTTAAACCTTGAAAGATTTTCGAAGTGATCGGAAACTTGACAGCCGAGCTCCAGGCTACTGAAAGTAATTGAAATCGACTGATAAACACGTGTAAGAAACAAATTGATCGGTACTGTATGGTTGAAAATGGTAACTTTCCCGATGTCTGAAAATATTGTACTTTTGTAAGTGAAAACATTTTTGTACAAATTCATCCAAAATTAGTATTTCAGTTTATTAAAGGGGGCCAGACACCAAAAAAAAAGTTTTTCTGATATTTTGCCTAGAGAACTCCCATGAGGAGTTGAACTCATGACAGGCAGCTCAGGGGTACAGCGCCGTTCCGGCTGAGCTACGAGGGCGCGAAGGCGCCTGACGACCGATGGTCTACATAAGCACGCCGCGATTCCGTCCCCCAAACTGCCCCCCAAAAGTTTTGCTGTCTCGCCTCCTTTAAAGCTTAAACCAACAGTGCTAAAGCTTCCCGAAATTGCCCAGATTTTGAACATTTTCAATGTGAATATCCTTCTTGGATGAATTTCTACGGGAAAATTGTCAACTATAAAATTCGAGCTTGATTTTTGATTAATAAATCTGAACATTCTCAGCCTTATCCAACAAAATGCTGTAGTTTTTCTATACGTTCAGAGTTATCATTTTTGACCAAAATTAAAGGAAATTAATTAACATTTTGTAGTCTGTTGAAAATAGTTGACGTTGAAAATCAATTCATTACTTTTCAATTAAATTACCGTAAAACCTGGATTGAAAGGGCTTCTAATTTTTGAGTTTAATCCAATTTTTCCTGGTTCCTGTCAAAGATATGCAAAGGTTGTGCAAAGGTTTGTCCGAAGGATGGTGTGAAATAAATAATTTACCAGTTTGAGACCCTTCTATTACAGGTTTTAAGGTAGTTTTGTAGTTAAAAATGTTTGGCTTGAACTTTAACGCCACCATCAAGATCCGAAGTTCTGCAAAACGGAACTGCACTTTGGTACCAGTTTTTTTTCTGCTTTCTTGTCTTCATTTTTACATATATTCCATTTTTCCTTGATTTTCAAACGCTTATCATCATCACAATCAGCAAAAGAAAAGTCGTCTGTGATAATAGTGGTCTCAAAAATCGGTAACGACCCTTGGAATTGTTTGCTCGAAAACTTTGACCAGAGAAAAAATAACTCTAAAGCAGAATTCTCATTTTGTGAACCACAACTCACAGAAATTGAAAGCACAATTCACAGAAATCGAAATCCTTGATTAAAATTTACTTTAATTGAGCATGATTATCATATTTAATATTGATATGACAGCAAAACAATACCTGTCGCCTTTCACATACCCAAAATAAGAATAGAACCGTATCATGTTATCCGTCTTCCAAAAATTGTTCAGTGTTAGTGTTCTCTGTCTGGGATTAAAGCACTAAAACGGCCAGGCACTAAACAACGATAAGATAAGCGGAGCGAAGCGAAGAAGACTGTAAACTTCGTACTCGGAGGAGAAGCCGAACTATTCAATTTTCTTGTTCTAACAGCCATTTCTTAAAAAGAAAAACGTTTTTCTTCCCAACCTGACATTGTTCTCCGCCATTTTCGTTGATTTTTCCTTCCTAATCAATCGTGATTGACGTTTCTCAAGACAAATTGAAATCAATTTGAGGAGGTAGGAATGGTGGCTCTAACGAGTTGTTATCAAAATATTATCGCCTGTTTCCCATGTTTCGCTTGTCATTTGTGCATATTCCTGCCTCAGTGCATCAGCTATTCGCACACTTGATCGTTAACAAACCGTTCATTTGATAACAAATTCAGTCGCCCGGGTTGTTACGCCGGAAACAAGCTCGCTGTGGCCTCATATTAATTTTAAAATCGCCTCACTTTGATTTTGAAACTTTTTATTGATTTTTGCAGTAATTGAGCTCCTTTCAACTAGACTATAGCGCGTCTCAAGGTCACAGTTACTGGAATAATCGATTTTTTTTAAATCGAATGAATTGATGACTTACAACTTCTGTTCGTTCCTTCTGAACTCGACGAGCGGAAGTGTCTTATTTCATTTCAAAAAACAGATCATCTGTTCAGTCACATTTCACAACAGTTGTCGAGTTTCCTAGCCACGTATATATATTTTTTCGGATCTGATCATCAAGATTTTTCATTGTCCGAAACTCAGAGTTGCTTCATCGACCAGCTTCATGCTTTTTGAGAAAAAAAAAAGAGATGATAGGTATTTTTGAAAGAGAAGAAGAAAAATAGAGGAAAATTGCTCAACTATCACATTTTAGTGATCTTGTAATGTTCGGTTTATTGTTATTTTCACAGTTTCGAAGACACTGTTCTTTTTATATATTATTACTCTGGGGTGTACTGTCCCATATATTTCATAAAAGTGCTTCTCCTTCTGGTCAACCAACAAAAAATACGGGAAAAAAATACCGAGAAGCACGATTGCTACTTTTTACTTTTTTTCTTCTTACTCGTTCTCTTCTTCCGTATCATTTTCTTTTTATTTTCGTGCTATAGAACCGAAACAAAAACAGCTAATAAACAGAAATACTGATACGTTTTCTCTCGGTTTTCCTTGATTTCTCTCGATTTTTCTTTCTGGAAACAGAAGAAAAAAAGCAGTGTCCACTGTAGTCTCTTTTGTTTGATTTTCGATAAGAAGAGCAGTTTTTTGCCCTGTGCCCTCCCGATACGTCAGTCTAATTCTCATAAATTTTGTTTAGAAATTTGACACCTCTGAGAGGTGGTTCTTATCTTTCGATTGACTCCATGGAAGAGGTGCACCAACTAGAAAAAAATTCCATGCTTTTTTCTCTATATTTGCCAAAAATTGAACAATTTTTAAATATATTTCAGATGATCCTGGGACCCTCGCTTGGACAACTTGGAAGTATAGCTGGCAGTCGGCCATGGCTATGGATCTCACTGTCCTTGTTGATTGGTGCAATGTCCTTCTCTTCTCTTTTGCTCAATCCACCAAAAACTGAGTTTGGCTTTGAGCTTGGTTACACTACTGCCGATGCTCCATCGATTCTTGAGATGAGAGCTCAAAGAGATTTTTTCACCGACGGGAAAGAGGTAGGTTAAAGTGGCGATGACCTTTTCGAAAATTTTTGGGATGTCGAAAGTTCCGATTTTGAATTATTTGAAATTTCGAAATATTTCGATTTGGAAAAATTTTGGAATTCTTCATCTGGAAAGCGCAAAAAATCAGGAAAAAAACAAAGAGCTTTGAAAATGCGAAAAATATTAACAAGAAACCTCAACACCGTGTCAACCTAGATTTTGATTAAAATTTTATGATGGGTTGAAAATAACCTATCTAGTCACTTTTGAAAATTTTGGAATCCGCTTGCTAGTTTCAGCCGAGTTATATCAGTTTCAGTACCAACAATCGGATTTAGCGCAGAAAAGCAATTTTTGAAAACGAGTTTCTCACCTCTAGGACGTTTCCAAACTTACAATTAGTTGTGTTATATTTAGATTTCGATGAAATTTATATTTCAAACATGTTCTAAAAAAAATAGTTATATCGATTTTTTTAACGATTTTCCAAATTCATTCGAAAATTGAAAATTAAATCATGAGAAAATGTTTGAAATACAAAGTTGCTGAAAATCCTGAGTACAACACAATAAGATTCATTATCTGAAACATCTTAGAAATTGAACAAATCGTCTTGAATGTTTGCTGTTTTGCACTCAAAGGCGATTTGTGGTACCGAAACTGATATACATAGCTCGGCGGGAACTGGCGAGCGGGTTCTGAAATTTGCAAAGGTGTTTTGATAGGCTTATATGAACCTATCCTAAACATTTCATAGAAATCTGAGCTAACAAGGTGTTGAGTCTCCCTTGTTTTAACTTGAAAAAGTTTCCTAAAAATTTACCATATCTGTATTTCAGGGTAACCCATGGTATCAAGCACTTTTTGCCGAACCACGCGACTCGAAAAAATCAATGCACGAAGGCAAAGAATACAACGAATTAAAGGCATTCTATAGACGAATTAAAAATTTAACGATCCGATACGACGAAACTCTAGGCAAAGATATCACTTATTACGATTTATGCGGGTCTACTTGTAATCTCAACGAGCTTCTTTTTACGACAGAGGTATTTCCCATATCTATGAGTTATGGAGCACTTACATATGTTTTAGGAATGGTCATTCTTTGGAATGAAGTATCCAATAACTCATTTGTCATACGTTTTTTTGTCATACGTGTCCAACATCGGGAAACACTTTTATCATGTGAGGACGGATAATACTTCGAAATTGTTGAATGCTAACAAAGCCATGCTAGTGTTCATGGCATTTTATCAAACAAAAGAAGTGAAATCCGATTTGACACTGTATGAAGAAGTTGTCCAATACGCAGTAGATGATTACAACTCCAGAGGAAATAGCAGCCTCATTTTGACGCTTCATGGAGAGAGAGGAATGTCGGTAAGTGGAAATTGTTTTTTCAAACAATGTGTTTTGATGTGTCGTAAACACTGTAATAGAATACTCTTCAAATTGTCAAGTTTTAGCCCATCTACAGTACCCGTTAATAAGATATACAAAAACGTGTTTTTCAGTTGATTTTCGGCCATTTTGGGAAGTCTAGAGATCGGCTTTCGAGCTTCCGATTAATTTGAAAAATTTTTAAGAGTGTAAACAGGCCTAGATCAAGAACTCTGCATTCACAGAATTTTTCGAAAATTTCTGGTTTTTCAGTTATTTGCCGATTTTTGAAAAACATCGCTATTTTACCTGATTTTGTACTAAAATCGCGAAAAAAAGGTGTCATTTTGAAATCAACAATTTTCAAAAGTTCTGTTTCATACCCTCCTGAGTTTCCAAAAAGATCGGACACTTGATGGCCGGGCTTTAGACTCCTGGCCTCAAATCAACTGAAAATATGTTTTTGTCTACTTTATTGACCGCTACAGAATTTCAACAAAATTCTTATACTTCTACAGAGCGCTGTTCAACAAGGAATGTCTCACGCATTTGAATACCTTGGATACGGTGTTGCCCTTTCTGTTATTGTCCTGTTCGGCGTGCTGCTTTTCTTCAGTATACTGTTCAGCCAGCTAACTATCTTCAGGTATCCGAACCTTACCTTTGTACTTTCAAAATTCTTATTTCAGAATTATCTTCATCTGGATTTGCGCCATGGTTGTACCGTTGCTTGCGTTCATCACTGCTTTTTCCATTTATAACTTCTTGGGATACTCCATCACCCCACTCACAATTTTTACACCATTCTTGGCATTGATGCATGGTAATAAGTATCCAGTTGGTTTTTTTTTTAATTCAGTTTTTCGTATAGGTTTTTACACTGTAATCATGCTCACTCACACTTGGCTCAGCGACTCAGAGCTCCGACGAGATTCGAGAGATGAACATCTTTTGGAGGTGATTTTTTATTCATTTTCCATTTGCAAGATTCTCTCTACGGGATAACAAGCTTTCTTCATAAAAATCTAGCTTGTTTAAAGTTCAATTTGACTTTTAAATCATAAATTTTCAGGTTTTCGCTACTTGCATGCCATCATTGATCGTCACTTCTAGCCCAGCAGCGGCATTGATCGTCTGTTTGGTGTACCCAATTGCCAACTATGCTGCAGTTTCATTCTTGATGGGACTCATTATGTCTTTTGTAATTGTCTTCTCAGTAAGTCGAAAACTTACATTTTCAAACATCTAAAAAATGAATTCAGGTTTTCTTTTTCTCTCCGGCAATGCTCATCATTTGCCCTGCTCAAGATTTCACACCACTACCAACTGGCAACAATAAAGAAGTTGTTAAACCAACCTTGAAGAAAGTAGAGAGCTTGAGAGGTTTGGTAGACAAGTTGGTAACTCTTACAATTACATTCATTTTAGACTGCTACTGTGAGCATGTGGATAGATCGAAGTGTGTAAAGGTTGTCGCTGTTGTCTTTGTCTTGGTCCTTCTGGTGGTTCCCGTCTATTTCGGATGCACATCGGTCAGTCATCTTTGCCCTAATTTAAGTTTCCTACAAATCTGAAATTTTTAGTTAGAAGGAAATCTCGACTACAGACAACTTCTAAGACCAGACAACCCAAGAAACTATGGTGTGCATTTGATGAGTGATGTCGTCTGGCCAACGTGGTTCTCGATTATGTTCTTTGTGAATAAACCACCAACTTTTTCAAATCCTCGAGAATACGGTAGATTCAAAAGCATGATCGCAGAAATCGAAGAGATTGATGGCAAACTTCCCAGTGATACTGACATGGTTTGGATCAATGACTTTTGTAGACATACTGGCACTAAACCGACAGATGACTGTAGGCTGGAATACTTGTAAATAATTCTAAAATAGACATTTCAGCACTTAATATGACTCAATTCAAAAGCTTTATCGAAGATTTCATCTACAAATCTTGGAAGGATGGTGTTAAATATGAGTTTATCAATGAGTAAGCTGCTGGAATTTGATTTTTCAAAAATGAATATATCTTTTCAGCACCACGCCAGTTATTACTAGCATGTTGCATATTGTATCATTCCAAGGAACAAAGTCTCTAGCCGATAAAGCGCGACTATTCGAAAAGTGCAGAGCTATCACGAACAAGTATCCGGAATTCAAAACTACTCCGTTCGACACTGAAATTGGATTTGCTGATATCATTCTTCAAGTTCCGTTGGTAGTGGCAGTGTGAGTTGAAACACGTAGAAAATATAATGGATCATAGAACAAGAATTTCAGAATTCCACTGGTTTCAATCACTACTATGTTTATTGTCAGCACAATAATCATCGGAAACTTGTCAGTGGCCATTCTCAACTTTTTCTTTGCTGGACTTCTCTATGCATGTAAATTTACAATGCCCATTGCAAAACTAAAAACCTCTTTACAGCTACTATCGGAACCGTATCTCTTCTGGAAATCAATGTAAATCCTTTCAACGCCGCTTTCTTTTTGATTATCGCTGCTATGTCACCAAGCTACACAACTCATTTCTGCTATTATTACCAGCAGGTGAACGTGGTTTTTTTTGGAATAGTCTTTTGATCTTTTGAATATTCAGGCTATGCGTATCAAGCCAAGAGCAGCGAAGAGAGATCGAATGAATGAGATGTTGAGGAAGTGCTTTTTTCCGTGTATTTCGGTAAGGGTGTAACAGAGAATTTCGTCAAACGAAAACAAAAAATCTGGGGTCCAGTATACTCACAGAAGACTTATTGTACACAATAGCGCTTATTTACCCAGACTCAAGTTTGAATCATTACAAAATTTGATTGAAGCGTTGTACTGCGCTAAAATCTAAAGGGAAACAGTTTAAGTTATTCATTCCAAGTTTCAAATTGTTCGATCAATTTTGAGGTGAGATATCTCTTTTCAAGTTTGTTCATCACATGAAAATCACAACAGTGAGCAGGATACATTACTCCGTTCAACTTTGAACAATCATAACAATATCTAGATTTCAGGAAATGCTTTGAAGATTTCAGTAGCTCTAGATCAAATGTAAAATTGTACTTCTTCCAATTCTCGTAATTCCAAGGTACAGTCCGGGATAATTATGCGCCATCCTGTAGTTGGACTTTTCAAATTTTTCTCCTCCAAGATTAATTTTTTCAACGCCACTTTATCTAATTATGTAGGGACCTTCTAGGCAGATTTCATATCCGGTGTCTAATTATGTAGGGACCTTCTATCATTGGTCTCTTGCAAAATGTATAACGTCTAGACACCTTCAAATTTCCGGCCCTGATTCTTTCTTAGCTACAAACATATTTTCTAAATTCGGTCAGGAAATATACATACACCGGAAATGAAATCTCACGAATTCTCAAAGAACTTACGCTAAATGTGTGCAATGATCGAATTTTCGAAAATCAGCTGGCGTTTTCTAGGAATTTCCTGATTTTGTGTCAAAGTAGCCACACATTTGTTACAGCAAGATCAGAAAAGAAAACTGAACATTTGATCTGGTAAATGAAATCAATTGTAAGATCAAGTGTCAATTTGAAAACATAAGTGATAATTTGGAAAAAAATTGGAAAGTAAAAAAAAAAAAGAAAATCCTTTGAACATGTGAAGCAGGTCAAGATCAATCCTACACAACGTTTAAAATTCAGAATAGTCTTTATAAATTTTTTCAGAGCATCCTGTGCGCATTCTGCGTCTTTCTCCCATGCATGTTCAGTGACATTGATATCTTCATAGCCGTTGCATTCACCAACATTGTTTTCTGTATTCTCGGAGTCCTCATTGCCTTCTGCGCTCAAGTATTCCTCAACATGCTCCCCGATATGTTTACTGGAACTCACTGGTTCTGCTCTCCACAATCCTAAAAATCATCTTGCATACCTAGCGAATTCCAATATTTCAAATGTATTTTCTAAAATCAAATATTGCATTCATTTTCTGTGTAACTTGCAAACTTTCAGTTTTTCTTATTCACCAAATCATTCCTGTCACATTGACGTAGACAATGTCTGTTAGATTTTCCTACGGTTTCTAGACCTATTTTTCAAACAATGACTATTTTTTTCGGCCAAATTCTTTGTATTTGATTTGGGAGAGTATGTCTCTCTGTTTTTTTCCAGAATAAATGTTGATTCTACTAATTGTCGTTAATTACAAAAAAAATCAGCTTTACTATGATTCACGATTAATGATTCACGTACTGAAAAAATCCTGGTACCTATTTTCACACTTTTTCGTTGGACAATTTCGGACATTTTTTGCTTTTCAATTCAAGTATTGAACTTTTGTTTTTTTTAAATTTTTTTTAATACAATTTGATATTTGAATACCGCAAAACCTATATTAGAAAGGCCTCTCTAATGGAAGGGCACTCTTTAAAATTTATTAACTGGATACAAACATTTCCCTACGTTTTCAGGGAAAATGATTTCAGAAATTTCGCAAGTTCATAGAAATTCGCTAAAACACTCTTTTTTTTCTTTTGTGGAATTGACAGATTTTCGCGAATTCTGAACCAGAATTTATCAACTTTTTGATGAGAAATTTCAGAAAAATAGTTGGAAAATTAGAATTGCTCCTCTAATTGGAGGGCGCATGTAATAGAAGAAATAGTAAAAAGGCCGGACCTTATGTACAGGTTTTACCGTACATCATATGTTATCCTCCTGTTCTGGTGACTTTTTATTTTGATCTGGTTTGAGTATTTTTCCTGAAGTTTGAGTTAGGCAGTGCTTGAATTTCCTTATCCTTTTCTCCTTTTTTTTTTAGAATTTCATAGTTGGACCCAAAAATGTTACAAAATAAAATATCTCAACTATCGTTATAACTTTCCGAATGAAATCTTTGATTTACTTCATCGGTGGTATTGTTCATGTGATGAGTGATTCTTCCGCGTTCTCTCAAGCCTACCACTATCAGATCTGGGTGTGTTTTGAACCAAAGAACTTTCATCTTTTATTTTATATCTGATAGCTATTCTTTCCCGTTGATATTTCGAACTAATCATATCATCAAATCAGTTGACGACACGTGCGATGCAATGTCTCACATATTGTTTCACAAAACGACTTCAGAGAACAAATAACTTGTCGAAAGTGAGACCGTTTTCATGGATGATGATGAAATGTGAATTCGTCAAAAAAACTGTCCATTGTGCTGTGCGTAAAGGTTTCAACGAGATCAGTTTGCATCTGAAATTCGTCATTTAAAGGAGACTATTCTGCAAAATGATTCGTCGACACGGGTACAATATAGGGTGTTTGACCCAAAAACATGATCAAATTCGTACTTTTCCATAGCTAATACGTTCTTTAACTCAATTTCAGCAAACATCTAGTAGCTTTTTCCTGGAATATGTCCTAAAAATGTGATGTGTTGTAGTCAAGCGCATTTTGTGCTGGTACCACCTGTCTTCGTCTTTTTTATAGATCCAAACGAGATCCTTGGAATTAGTCAAAATCCTTGGAACTAGTTTTAATTGGGCTTGTACTGTACCAAGGAAAGGGTTACTGTAACTATCGAAGAACGTGTTTCCAAACTTTTTAGGATTCAAATATAAATGGTGGAACCAAAAACCAACAGAGTATAATTTTCAAAATTTTATTATCAGCACTTGAATATGTGTGATTGATTTAAGATAAGATCAAAGCAGGCATGTTTTGTTAAAGTACACGTAAAACCCATGACGATCGGAAAATCCGGGGCGAGGGATAGTTGGAATGGAGTGTCAGATAAAGGGAGGTTGGATAGGTACGAAATTGGGGAGATCAATATAAAATTGTAGGGAAATGATTGCGAGAAAAAAAACATCTTCAAAAAAATTTAGAATCTGACAGCCAATGGTTGGTCCAGCGGAGAATAAGCAAGTGGGTATAATCCAGCAGGTGGTGATACAGAGTCTGGTAGCGATGGAGCTGTTGTGTTCATCTTTCCGAATAGGCTCTGGGTGAGAGCAACAATAGCATCTTGGGATGATGCGATCAAGTTGTTCAGTTGAACTGGGTCGATAGCAGATAGTGCGATTGGACTGAAAATATTGGAATGAGGAACGAAATTTTAATTTTAGTAACTCTAACTTACTTAGCAGTTTGCGGGATCTGTGGGACTGGAGCAATCTGAGGAAGTTGTTGAATTGGAGCCACTGGCACTGTGAGTTGTGACATTGGAAGCTGTGTAGCTCCGAGGGATGGTATCCGGGATGGAGAGCTAGATGACGTTTCGCGTTCCAACACTGAAAAAATACAGTTAATGTCAGGTTTAAAGTTTCAGATATCTTACATTTCTCCTCAAGCATTTCATTTCTTCTGCGGAGCTCATCCATGCTTTTTTGGTTCTCATTGAGTCTGGTTTGCATAACAGTGATGTATTCGACAGCTCTTTTCAAGATCAATGCACGCGAACTCTTCTCTCCCTCTAGAAGTGGAATAGAGTCTTTCAAAATCACAAAATGATCTTTAATATGGTCTCGTCTTCGACGTTCCAGCTCATTGTGATGGGCACGTCTGTCATCATCCATTGATGGGGAGGCGGATTTAGGGCTCGAGACATCGTCCTGAAATTAAAAGTTTCAATTGAAAAAATCTGGAAGTTGGAACTTACATCAGAGGAGTCAGAGTGGTGTCTTTTACGGTATTGTTTTTGTTGTTCCATTTTCATGGACGAAGATAGGAAGTACATGTCATCAACAGCAGCAGACATGGTGAGTGTTTTCTGGAATAGTGATGATAAGGATTGATAGGTGGAACTCAAGTACACACAAAGGAGAATTTATAAGATCTTTAAAGAAAATTTTAAGAAATCCGGAGGAGTCGCTAGACCTGTGTCACTAGCCAAGAGGTTGTGGCTGCAATGAGAAGGAAAGAACAGATCGGAAAAGGGGGCGTCCTGTCTATCAAGTGGGCGGAGCCCCCGACTCCGCCCCCGACACGCGGTCAACGTATGTTCTTTGCACCGCTATCGCCGTGGGTGCTAGTAGCGCTCTTTGATATAACCGAGCTCTTGGCTCCGCCCATGTTTTGGAGCAGAATGTTATAGCCTTACTTCCACCTTCAGAATCATGTGTATCATGTGAATCGAATCAACATCTTTTGGTATGGACAACACAGACATGAGAAATGGGAGGAGTGGATCCTGAAGATGGGTACAACGAACAAGATTCAGTAGCAGGATTCTTAAGGATTCTTCAGATGAGAGAAGAGGTCCTGTGTGCAAACATGGAGCATGTAGGCGTCAAAAAAGGGCAAATACTCAGAGAAGGATCAAAATTACACTATTCCGGGTTCAATTTGGGTATGGTGGATGGGTTGGGTGGAAAACCCAAGGCGTTGTTCTCTTAATCACATGTCTCTTCACGTGTTTTGTTCATTTGTTGCCGCCGGAAGAGACGGGAGAAACCCAAACTTTGTTTCCTTGGATTCCTTGGCTTGGTGCATCGTGATGTGTGTGTGTGTGTTTGAAACAACACACAAAGACCTTCTGATAACAATGTGTAGGAGAGCTCAAAAATTTTTCAGGTCAGGTTACTTCCGAATGATGTATGATGGAGGGGTGCTGGTGTCAACGCACAGGTACCGTATACTTTAAAAAACTTAGCAAACAAACAATTTTGTTGTACTATGACCCCGGGGACTGTTTTTCTAGCAACGTGGTTGGCAAATAGCCTACAAAAATAGATGGGTCTGCAATTGTTGTTTACAATGAAGGTGTGAATTTTGATTCTAAGTTTTCAAGGATCACTTACAGTATACCTAGATACACAAAAACATATTTTCTCTATATTTTCGGTAATTTTTAGCATTCTCAAAAAACTGGAGCTCGGATGTCAAGTTTTCGATCATTTGAAACGCTGGAGGGTGTAAAACAGATCTAGATCAAAAATTTTGAATTCGCAGAATTTTTTGGAAACTTTCTAGTATTTTTAGCCATTTGCAATTTCTGGAAAACACCAGAAATTGGAAAAAATTGCAAAAAAAAAGTCAGAAATTGTAAAAAAACTTTGTTTGCCTGTTTCTGTACAGAAAACGGGCAAAAAGGAGTGTCTTTCAGAAATCGGCTGATAGCTGAAAAACTAGGAATTCTTAAAAAATTTTGTGAATGCAAAGTTTTCAATCTAGATCTGTTTTACACCCCCTGAAATTTTCAGTGTGATCGGAAGCTTCACAGCCGAGCTACAGACACCTGAAAATGATTAAAAACGCCGTAAATTAACTGAAAAACACGTTTTTGTGTATCTTACTTTCCGGTATTGTACTTAAAGCGTGCAATATGATTCCGAGATTTTGAAAATTGCTTTTTTAAAATTTTTATCACAGTATCCCTATGTTTTCAAGCGGAAAAATTTCAAGAGTGCACCACTCACTTTCTGAGCCTGCAAGTGATCGTTTCTTCTCGATTCAGAAAAAGTGATTGTACTCTGAAGGAAGGATAGGTGATTCCGATTCAACTCTTGAGAACGATCAGATTTCACTAGCCAACAGTCTGATCATGCGTCTTTCGAAGAAATCGCTAAAAATACAGTGTAAAATGAATACCATGTTGTTAGGGATTCATACCAAGAAGTGGTGTCTGAACACAAAGTGAGGGTGGATGCATTGTGCAAAACAGTAAAAAAGCTGAAATGATAAGCTTGCAAAATCCTCTACTAATCTGTTGAAAAAAAAGGTGGGAAAACAGAACCAATAATCTACGGAGAGAAGAGAATTTCCAAGCTTATTCGATCTGGTTACTAAATCCTTAAGATTAGCTCGTTTCCTGTGGTGCGGGTGGATGGGGGAGATGGTCGCGAATTTGTTAAGCTAGTCACAAAAGTTGCTCAATGATGATAACATGTAGTGTTTTTCAGTGTTTTTCAGTTTTTTATAGAAGGCTTTTCAGCTTTGGAACGGATCTGGGGATTGTTTTTTTGAAATTCATTTCGAAATTCGTTTTGTTATTTTTCTGATTTTCGGAAAACTGGGATGAAAGATCTATTGGAAACCCGTTGCTGATCGTTGAGTAATTGAAAGAAGCTTAACAAAACGTGAAGAATCTTGTAAGGGTCCCTCAAAAATCCAGCATTAATTTTTTATTCTAATCCTTGTAGGATCACTATCAAATCCTTTTCTTCCAGTCTTATGTTTATCTTTTGTTTCTTAAAAATCCATTTTTCTAATTATTCTTATTGGTCAAACACTTGATATTTTTCCACTAATCCTCAACCACCCTCACCAGATTATGCGAGGGTGGATTTGAATTGGTTATGCTTTCGCTAAGACAGCAATCATTTCCGTTTTACTGACTTCATTTTCCAGCCTGACCAGCTTATGTCCAATGTACAAACCCTAAATAGAGTATTTTTCACGGAAAAAAAGTACTTTTCGTATAGATCATCCTCTCTTCACATGACCGATGCGTGCCCGCTCGAAAACCACAAAACACTCAAAAGTGAACCTGGTGAATCGGAAAGAAGAGATAAAAACTCTTACAACTTTACGGCGGTAGCGCGAACAGAGAACAAACTGTAATCGGTCCGCAGTGGAAGAAATGTGACTATGATGTGTAAATATGCGGTATTATTTGAGGGCACCTATAGCGTAGTCTTACGGAGGTTATGAAAAAATGAATGCTTTCTTGGAAAAGTGCAAGGAGAGGGATGATAAAAACAAAAATGATGAAATCTCAACAATAAAATGATATGAACGAGTTGTGGAAAAACAGTTATGATCCACTTAAAAGTTCGGTCATTTTGACTATAGTCAGTAGCCTGAAGCTTGGCTTGCATGTGTCCGATCACTTTGAAAATTTTGGAGGTTGTAATACAGACCTAGATTTAAAACTCTGTTTTCACAGAATTTTTTGAAAATTCCTCGTTTTTCAGCTATTTGCTGATTTCTGGAAGACACCCCTTTTTGACCCGTTTTTGTACTGGAAGCGTGAAAAAATAAGTGTTTTTCAAAAATCGGCCAATAGCTGAAAAACTAAGTATTTTTAAATGTCAAGTGTTCAAACTAGGTCTGTTTTACACACTCCAAAATGTTCACAGTGATCTGAAGTTTGATAGCTCTACACTCTTGAAAATGGTCAAGAATGCCGAAAATCGATTATACCATTGACCTTTACATACTGTAGATTCCCCTCGAGGAGTTGATTTTGTGAACCTGCCGCGCCTAAGCCAACTAAAATACAGTATAACGATAGGAACACGCTATATGGACACTATACTGTACACCGTCATTTCAGAATGCCTAGCGTGATTCCAAAAATTATAGTCTGCACTTTTTTGGAACTTTCATGATCACTCATTTGTAGGATTACACAATATTATACCCTTAGAACAATTCGATTCAAATTTTAAAATTTCGTATTACCGATTATGATCTCAAACTACGCAAGTCCCGAAAACTTCATACGGAAGCCAATTCTTTAGAAGCACTCAAACCCTGACCAATGAAACATTTTTTTCAAATGTATTCCCTTTTCAGACTCCCTTATCATCATTCAATCCATTTTTGTTATTTTGTTCATCTTTCATCAATCAGTTTCATTTCACTTTCCCTTATCTCTACCCAACTACCACGTGACTCCAACCTTTCCTTACGAATGACGATAATGACAGTTCTTTGGCTACTATGCTATACAACTTGAGAAGGTGCAAAGTTGACAAGAGACTCAAATGTGAACTTTGCTTACTCTTTCTCTTTGATTAGCAATAGATTACGCACTACGCTAAAGTTGGATTTGATTTTTTTTTTCATTTAATTCAATATTCAATCATCTCCAATATTCTCGGAATGTGTACCTCAACTCTGTTTTTTGCTCAACAAAGGACCTTGCGAAGTGACAGGAATCAGCAAAAACGTGTTGTCAGCATGATTCAGCAGACTTCAACAACACACAGATCATTTATTGATATAGACACGTTGCATCAGCCGACGAATCGAGTACGCCCTGGGTGTCTGACACGCTTGCAGTATCTGACGAAATCATCCCGCGAAATCATCAGCAGATCAGCCATTGTATTATATTGAGTCGTGAGGGGTGGTTGGGAAAAAAAAGTCAGAGTGATCTATGAAGTTTACAACACAGCCAAAAAGTGCTTACGTGAAGAAATCAGGGGTTGCCCCCAGCGGCAGCAGAGGACACGGAATAGAAATCAGGGGTTCAGGAAATAATATTAGCAGTTTGTCAGATGTTTTAAAAATTGACATTTTTGCAATTCTGTATTCGAATAAACCCAAAATCGAAGACTACCGTAAACACTAATAGAGTGTTCTCCTTAACCTTCAACTTTGAGCCAATTTATCTCGGTTCTTTTGAAAAGATATCAAAAGTAGTCAACTGCTAAAATGTTGGTTCTTTCATGAATAACATTTTCTCGGTAGACTTCGTTTTGAAATCTTCAACAGGAACCGAATTAAAATGGCTCAAAGTTGACGGCTTTCTCGAGTGATAAACTAATTACTAACTCGGTTTATCCTTCATCTCCCAATTACTACAAATGTATGTCCCTGTTATATCTCCTAGTTTCATAGACATTTCACGTGTTAGTGGTTTTCTCCCCTTCGTTGAAATAAATAAATAAAGAATAAAGAATACGGTAATTTTCGAAACTGTTCCGTTGCCGTTCACAATTTTTTATTGAGTAGCTTCCTATTTGCAAGTAATACCCATTCCTTAAACTCCCTCTCATATAAAACACTCCGCTCTGCTCTGTTGGGAAA